GGGCAAAATACAAAGAGAATGCCTTATAATCTCAATTTAAACTGTTGTCTCCGCCGTTGTCTCCGCTCTGTCTGCGCCTGGGAGCCGGATGCTGTGACGCGCCTCGCTGGGGACTAGGCGGATTTGTCTCCCTTCATAATCTCAATTTAACCTGTTGTCTCTGCTCTGTCTGAGTCTGGAAGCCGGATGCTGTGACGTGCCTCGCCGGGGACTTGCCGGGTTTGTCTCCCTTCATAAACTCAATGTAAACTGTTGTCACCGATGCTGTCTCGGAGCAAGATGCTGCGACGCCTCGCCGGAGGTAGCCGGATGTGTTTCCCTTCATAATCTCAATTTAAACTGTTCCTAACCCTGAATCTTAACCTTAAATCCTAAACTGTTGTCTCCGTCCTATACAAAGTGGTGTCATTTCGAGTTTGCTGTCTTGTTCGAGATTCACGCAACATCTTGATGGTTTATTGCTGTTTGGGGTCTTCGCTGGTGTAATATACGAAGTTACATATGTATATGTATACGTATATAAATACAAACAAACAAATAAATACATACATACATACACGTATATATATATATATAGATATATGTGTGAGAACATATGTTTGTATGTATATATGTATGTATGTATGTATGTATGTTCATAAGTGTGTATATATATATATGTGTGTGTATATCTGTGTATATATATATATACATATGTATATGTATCCCTCGTGCCCTTGTACCCTTGTGCCCTCGTGCCCTTGCCCTTGTGCCCGTGTGCCCTTGTGCCCTTGTGTCCTTGCGCCCTTGCCATGCCCTTGCGGTGCCCCTTCCGTGCCCTTGCCGTGCCCTTGCGTCCTTGTGCCCGTGTGCCCGGCATCACCGTGGGACCTGTCTCAAGAGAAGGTTCGGCTTTCAACAAGAACTCTCGGTCGAACCAACATCTTTGCCGGGTTGTAATCCTCATCGTCACATAGCCAAGCAACTGCTGGGTGAGGCTCACTGCGTCTCTGTGGCTCACACTGAGCGATGTGTTAACGCCAGGTTGTAATCTTGTTTATTGCGAGGTTGTTTGAGTGTTAGCTTTTATGTCTCTCTGTTCACGCTTGTGACGCACGTATCTGTTCTTTTGGCGTGCGCGTGAGACGTACACGTAGAAAATGCGAGATTTCTCGATACATAATGATACATACATACCTACATGCCTACATACATAGTTTCAGGCATACATGTACACATGTACACCTCCATGCCTGTGTATGTGTATGTATGCATGTGTGTATGTATGTATGTATGTATGTATGTATGTATGTATGTATGTATGTATATTTACATACATATACACGTCTACCTCTACGTCTACTATACATACACGTATACGTATACGTGTATGTATATTTGTATGTGTATGTACTTGTATTTGTATATACATACATGCATACATACATACATAAGTACATACATGCATGCACACATACATACATACGTACATACATACATACATACATACATACACACATACAGACATGGAATGTATGCCGTGTGTATATATATATATGCATCTATATGTCTATGTCGATGTCCATGCATGCTTATATGTATATGCAGATATGTACATCTGCATCTCTCTGCGGATGTAGGCGTATTTGTATCATATCCATGTGTCTTTGCATATGCTGTATGTATGTAATGCAATGTAATGTAATGTAATGTAATATAATGTAATGTATAAAGTAATGTAAATGTAAATGTAACGTAAATGTAATGTAAGGTACTGTACTTTTTAATGTCATGTAATGTAATGGAGTGCAATGGAGTGCAATGGCATGTAACAGCAGGTAATGGCATGTAATGGAAGGTAATGGAGTGTAACGGAATGTAATGGCATGTAATGGAATGGAATGGGATGGAATGGATCAATGTATGCACGCATGCATGTATGTATGCATGGCTGCACGCATGTATATGTACATGCATGCATCCATCCATCTATACATACATACATACATACATACATACATACATAGTTGGGTACCTACCGTACGTGCATTTATATGTACATGCATACATGATTACATACATATCTGTACATGCACGCTTTGCTGCAGATCTCTGTTTCCCCCTGCCATTGCATAAGTCAGGCCTCCATGCTGCCCTCTCCACCAAAGTAGCCAGCACTAAAGTCTACAGCAACAAGAGCGCTGATGATGATGGTGATGGTGATGGTGATGGTGGTGAAGATGATGATGTCTGCGCCGAGCAGCACAGCAAAGAGGCTAAACTAGAAACTTGCAAGCATAAATAACATGCACTGAAACAGCAGAGCAACCACACTGACAATTTCCCAAGTCTCGAACCCCAAGCTTACAACATGCTTTGTCAAGCCCATGAAGGCCGACGGCTTGGCAGAAATCGTCGGGGTGCACCGCTCCGCTTGGGGTGGGGCTTCAGGATGAGGGCTTTTAGCTGGTGGTTAGAGCCATTGTTTTGAGCCTGAGCAAAGACGTAGGCTTGGAGGATCAGGATTGGATGACGACTCTGCGCCGACGACCCTCTCTTGGCAGGAAGTTTCAGGTGTCAGAAAACTTCCAGTCATGACATTTAGTTCATCAGCCCATGAGGAAGGTGCGACAGCTTCACGAATTTGTCCTGTCAAGACTGCGGCCTGGATTTTGAACAGACATGTGTTTGCGGCCGAAGTAGTGTACATATAGAGTATAACGGAGGATCCAGAAAGGGAGGATGCATGCGCTGCCGCTTGTTGGACGATTTGCCCGGACTGCAACAGAACAAGGTACAGACGCAGTATCAGGAGATGTCGAGCATCTTCACGCCACAGATGATCATTCAACTCAGGCCGGACATGACATGGCTGAAGCATCCAATCCCTCGCAGTTTTGGCCTAAGCACGCGCCCGGAAAGAACAGGAGCTCGTTCAAGCTCGCCGGATGTAAGGGTAGCGTGTTGGACGTTTCTTGAAGCTTGTGCGGGAACTGCCCGCTCACCTTTGTTTTCTAAAGTAAGGCGCCGCACATCGCACCACCTTCCTACCCGCTCGCTGGGGCAAGCTCTGTCCGCTATGAACGACTCAGAAGCTTTTCCCACAAGGAGCCTCTCCACATAAGCTTGCTACCCTGGGCGCGAAGTTCTCATCTCTGTGCAAGAAGGCGTCAAACACATTCCTTAATTAACTCTTGACCACAAGCTTCCGAGCTCGAAGTCTGAGTTCCCGTAAGCCTGCGTGTACCTCTAAAGCACCTTCGCCGCAAAGGCGGCAGTTTCGACCGAGTCTCGGCGACGAGGGCCCGCTGTCGAAGCTACACAGCCGTCAGAGTACCAGTCTTCATACTGTCGGTTGGGGTAGCCTTCGAGGTTCGGATCGTGGTGCGGATTTCAGAGTGACGGTGTGTTGCCTTAAGAAGTGTGTTTGAACGGCTGATCGGCACAACGTATCTCTTGCCCTGATACCCATGGTCATTCGTCACGCTGATCTGGTTGGTGTGTCCACACTTCTGCTGTTCCTCATCACAGTACAATACCCGGTTTCTGTTCAATAGCAACAGCCACGACACAGCTATGGATGGCTGTACCATCCCTCAGCGACTGTCTTAAGAGGCCTTAACTTCATTGTCACAGAAACAGCAGTAAATTGCACATCGGAGCTTCCTTAGGTTGTGGCAAGGCACAGCACCAGAATGAGTTATCGAGCGCAGAACTCTTCGTACTGAATCCACATCCTTTTCTCTCATGTCCCCGAAACTCAACAAGAATTCAACCTCTTAAAGGCCAGGCCACTATCACACTCCGCATGCAAGTCATCCAGCCTAACGCTAAAATCCCAAACATCAAGCCTTAGACGTGAAGCCCAATTTTACCTTAAGCTCGCAAGCAATGCACCCATGCAGCAGGTCAACTGAGTGTGGCCACATGGAACCTCGCCGCCATCAACAACAATCCGTTCGAGCACCTTTGGCCTGAGAAGAGCCTTGTTCATACGTGAGCCTTAAGATGGATGGGGAAGTCGCTCGCAACCCAAATACAGGTCTTTATGTCGCACACCACAACCCGTCACCTGTTGACAATGACGTGCCAAGTGGCTGGCATATGGAAGCCGTAGTTTTCATTCCTGCAAAATCCCCGTTAAAAAACTCACTGTTCAGCGCACAACCTGAGATTTCGCGGTTGGAGAGGGAACGGCTCTCCGGGTGACTTTACAATTGTAGGCAAGGTATGTTGGAGCAGCATGTCAGTACGCAGTCCCAAATCCCACGCCTCTTTTTGACCTGAATCCTTTTCCTCTGGATCCCTGAGGAATTCATGCCCAAGCCCGTTGTTAAACTCTGCGGCTTGTCGGTATGGATGCATGTCTATACATTCATGTCCGTATCTGCTTGTCTGTAATGATTTTCTGGATCTACATTTTGTATGCGCTGAGCAGAAGTGTAGGCATAGGTTTCAGCAACCGTCACCTCTGGCCCGGCGTTTCGAAGAGGCTTGTAGCTTCGGCCCTAAAGCCCTGTCGTAGAATCCGGCGTACTTAAAAAGGCTTGCCCTAGATCTTGAATCCCAGACCCTGGACCGTGCCAGGTATTGGATCAGCCATTCGGATGGATCCTACAAGGAACTGATGGACCAGGTGACTGGCCCCAGCAGCCTGTTGTATGCTGTAGGCAGTTGCCGAGGGTGTAGCAGGTTCCGGGTAGAGCACCCAGAGGCTAGAAACTGTCAGAGTTTGATGCCCATGGGTCTGTGAGCAAAGATCAAACAAGCAAGACTTGGCGCAGATGACGAACGAACTGAAGGGTTTAGGGTTTAGCTTCGAAGACCCCTGCACCCCAATTACAACCCCACAAGGACTGCATTCCCGCCCAAAAGCTGTTTTTGGTCTGAGAGCCTAGTGTTAAGCAGTCAGTTTGGGGTCTTGCATGTGGTGGCAGGTGGAGCGCTTCATCGATGCACCTGGTGACCGGGATGCCTCTCAGCTCACAAAGAGCTTGCTACTCCTGCCTTCTACTTGCAGGTTGTGCCTCTGAAGCCGCTCCATACACCCTGCCCGTCAAATTCGCGGTCCGTGCTGTGGCAGTTTGAGCTTGGCTTTTCTGGGTATTCACAGCCTCCAACTGTTCATGCAGATGTTGCTAATGCTACTGATAGCAGTAGTAGTAGTGATGGTGATGACCAAGATGACATTGAGGAGACAAGATCTCTGCAAGCACCCAACGATCCTGCAGGATTTTGCTGTTTTGTGACACTGCTCCGAGGTCGCAGTGGCCGAGGTCTTCCCAGCATCTCTGTTTCAGGAGCTGCTGAGTCTCATGAAGGCCATGTGTTGTTTTTTCGGGGTTGTCGGGTAGCCTCACATGCTATACCACCATCAGTTCCAGAGCTCTTCAAGTTGAGACATAGGACATGGTCCATGGTACAGCTGTGCAAGATGGGTTCTGCGAGCTGTAGAAAAGCTAAGGATTCAGAAATCTCAGGTTCAGCGATTACGACTGTCCAGGTCCAGCTTGACCGCTGGACCTGAAGTAAATCTCTGTCAACAGCTTCGACAACAGGCATTCACCGACCGGCTGAGACCCGCAAAAGAGTTCTTGCGTTGCAAGGCACTTCAGCTCAAGGGCTACCAATGGCTGTTACACGACCGCTTTTTGTATGGTCGGGCAAAATCTGTTGGACAGGGTTTCCTGAATGAGAGAGTTTGAAGCCCGAAGCCAATTCTGAGGCCCTACGTCCATCCAGACGGTGACCGCACCCCCATACTACGAAGGCTCATGCCCCCATACACGTGAAGCCAAAAGTCCCTGCATGTACCGGAGTCAGCCAAAGCTCAAGGGCTCAAGTCTGCAACCCACCAGATTGTGTGTAACCCACGTGAATTCGTCAGATACTCCTGGAGCCCGACACGTACTCAAAAAGACTTATAGCTGAACCCGGAATCAGAACCCGGAATCATGCGCGCTGTGCATCTTCTACTGTACCGGCAGCATCGAAAACCAGACCCGAAACCTGTACCCTCAGTCCTCAAGCCCAAGTCGTGAACCCTAAACCTGGGTAAACCTAAAGTACCTAAAGCCCGAACTTGAATCCGCAATCTGCAAGCGCACTGCGGTGGGAGGCTGAAGGCTGGCAAGGTCTTGAAAAGGTGACTGCGCATGGCCCTCGGACAAGGGGTCTTCAAAATGGGGTAAGTTCTTTCGGGGGCACGGGTGCCTCACAGAATAATAAGAATCGCAATAGAACATCCTGCCTGATTTCTGACTTTCAGGACCGGGGTTTCAGGTTTGGGCGCGAAGATCAGCTGAAGCTGAAGACGTTGGGTTCAGGGCTTATGTGGGGTTTTGGATTCAGGAATATTGATCTAAGGGTTGGACACAAGGTCGAGTTCCAAGCACTTCATGCTTGAGGCGTTGCAGAGCTAGGGCTTTCCACTCAGGCTGCAGGTTTGAGGTTTTGGGGCGTAAGGCTTGGTCTATATTTCGTGTTTATTCTGAGTTGTGTCTCTTCTGCAGAGATTACATTGCTGTCATGGCTGTTTGAACATTCCTCATGTCAGGATATGAGTCTTGAATCGGCGCTTTGCCCTTCACGCTCATGTCGACCCCGCGAGTTTTACAATGGCAAGATGCACCACTACACGGCAGAAAACAGGAACTGACGGCTTTCAAGTACACAGTACATGCTTGCAGGCTCTGGGAGTCCGACTTCTCAAAGAGGAAGATCATTTCCGGGGTACTCAAGGCGATTGGGTGTCCGGAACTAATGTGAAGCGCAGGTTGTTTAGGGATTGGACTGTTTGAACCTGAAAGTTGCCTGGCCAACTCTGCTTTCGCAGTTCTTTCACGCCATCAGCCGTACGTTTAGGGCTTTGGGCCGAACCCCTCAACTCGTGCAGTTGATGAAATGCTGGTAGACCATGGTTATAATATTCATAATGATCACAGCAAAAAGTTGTGTGTCCAAGAGTCAAGTCAGTCTAAAAGGGTCGTGATGTTTAGGGCTCCAGCCACAAGTCTTCGAGCTCATCTGGGAGCTCCTGTAAATTCGGAGGTCTTACATTAGGGTACCGATGCAGCTCATGAAGTTGACGAGAAGCAGGACACCCAACAAAAAGGGAGCTACGGCAAAACCGTTCGAGAAATAGCTGCTTGACTGATGAGTCCATGACCCTTAGCTTACCTTAGCCCTCTTTCTGTGAGCTTTCCTAAGCCATCAGTGCAGCCGGCGAAGCACTCAATGAAAATTTCATAATGCGCATGGGCCCCACTGAAGCAATCCCGAGGCCAACCGACCAGCATCATGAACACGACTTTTGGGATCTGCCAGAAATGACTAAACGATTGAACGCCATAGACTCGGCCAAGAGGAGAAAGAGCTTGGTGCAAAGCGACTGTGCTCCATGCCAGCCTGCGTCTGAGATTTGGAGTCTTAAGCTCTGAGACTGGGAAGTTGGTTGTTGAGGTCCAAGTGCAGGGCAGGCCTAGCATTCCGTGTTGAGAAGGTCTGCAGCGAGCTTGAAACCTTCCCTGCAGCAGAAAAGGTTCTTTTAGGTTGCATGTTGGCTCGGGCTTAAAGCACTTTGGAAGCAAAGTGGAAATGCGCCTTGAAAGGGCGAGAAAGGGAAAGAATCAGCGCTGTTGAGTGTGCAGAACATACAGTGTTGGCGACCCTGCTCCTCAGAAGCCATTCCCTCAAGGACCGGTTCACCAATACCATCAACATCGCGTCAGGACTCGGGCCCGAAGCGGAGACATCCAGAACTTGGGAGCTTCATCCAAACGGCGGTGATTGGGTGGTCACGTCGGTATCTGTAGCTTATCAGCTCTTCATGAAGTCCTTCTTCCAAAGGTCCATGTCATCTTCCCAACAGCGATGCAATCCATGAGCTTCTGATAAAGACAATAGCAGTGCATAGGCACACCTCCTGTGTGACGTATGGCCGTTCCCTTAGCAAGTAAACAAGGCGGTAGTTCTGACCCAAAGGCCCGAAACTAAGTCGCAGCCACGGCCATGTGCGGAAGCCTCAGGCGAGGAGATTCCTGCAGCGCTGTCAAGTCTTGGGACCCTGCCGATAACACCCTGCAGCACCAGAGTCCTGGAACCTCAAATGCACATGTGATGGCTTAGCCGTCTCCACTCCCCCTGAAAGCAAAGCAAGTTTCAGGAAGCATTTATTGAGTGTTTTGTATTGGAGAACTTCACTGTAAATTCGCGAACACTCTCGTCAAAGAAGGTATCCCTATTACCGTGAATCAGCGAATTGTCGGACCAGGAGGCCCGGTGTTCAGACCGACTGTGATCAACCACAGCACGAATGTGTGGGAGCCCCAGGCCTGAGAGGCAGAGGCTGAAGCCGATGGGAGCATTTGTTGTCCTTGAGGCTCAGTTCGGTGGCTGCGTGGTGGCCGCAATGGGTGGACTTCATGTTCAAGGACCGAGAATCGAAGAAGAGTAGTGTCAGGGTTTACTCCAAAAGCAGCCCTCGCAAAAAGAAATGAAAGCGTGGCTGCGTGCCTCCTGTGGTCCTCTCGACGAAGTTTGCGAGGTTGCTTGGGCGTATGTAAGATGATAACATGGCATCTTTGAAGTTCAAATCATGTCTACAGAATGCAGGCTCCCCTCCCCAGTATCAGGTGTGCATTGGGCTGTATAGTCGTCACAGTGCTGTGATAAAGTCATTGGAATTTGCAATTTGCGGGATGGACTCTATTTGCGTTCTGCGACTTGGACTTAAGTCGAAGTATGAAGTGAGCATTACACTTAAAACGTTTTACATTTTGAGAAGTGGTTTCATCGAGGATGGTCATGGCAACGCTCTACACAAGAGGCCCTCTTGCCATCACACCAGCTGAACTATGCAAAAGTTAAGCCTTACACTTTGCTCACTTCGTTCATCTCTAGGCCATAGGCTCACAACAGCAGGTGTGTAATGAAAGCCCTCAAGCCCTGAGACCAAGTCCAAACCTGTAGCCCACAACCTATTCCCACACCGTATAGGCTCAAAATGGTCCTGATCTGAACCCTCGGCCGCCTCATTTTGTTGCAGCCTTTTGCGGGAACAGGGGTCGCTAGAGATGCGCACCGGCAACAACGGGAGCACGAAGAGGACCCAAGAGGGCTTTTAGGTCTCAGTTCCCCAGTCAGGAAAGCAAGCATCCCACGTCTTGCGCGTTCTTTGGGACGACGGGTTCGTGTCTTGCATTGAGGTTTCCAAGTTCCGCCAAAGGTCTGCTGTGGTGGGAGATGCTTTACCAATTTTGGATTGTTCATCACCCTTGTGTTTTCAGGATTACATTGTCCCCCAGCCAACTGCTTCCCGATGCCTTCAGCTGCGTGTCGTGCATTTGCATCGAAAAGCACTGCTGAACAACCTGGTGAAGACGAGGCTTTGGCCTCAAACTTACAGCAAGATTCTGCCTCAACTAAGCTTAGAGATCCCACAGGATACGACCTTGCGAGATGCTCAGCACCATTAAGAAGGTTCGCTTGCCCATGAGAAAAGTGGGCAAAGGCTTTCGGGGCGTCAGGACATGAATCCAGCAGTTTGTTTTCTGTCCTCCCAGGCTCGGGTCGCCGCGTTGTACAATCATGGGCCCTGAACCTGCACATGTTTCTTGAAGCAGGATTCAGTATCAGGTTGTTTGATCCATTTGACTCTGACGTTACACCGCTGTGCGCTACATTACGAGGGCTCGTGGATTCGTTAATCTGGAGTTCAAATGGGTGCTGCGGCTGAGCCACGGAATTCGATCAGCAGTACAACGAATCCCAAGCTTTGAGTCGATGTCTGCTGCAAATTAATAAGGTCAGGAAAGCGAGTGAGCTCGAATAAACTTTCGATTCCGAGCATGTCATGTGAACTGTTTCTGAACCCTGCCCCCCAACCCTGAACGTGCCATGGTAGGCCAAGTACCCTGCGATCACGGAAGAGGAGGAGGCCTTTCTGCGGATGCCGTGCCACACCCCCACCTAAACTCAAAACCCTGCAAGAGCCCAAGTCCGTGTAATCTTAAATTGCCGAGCCGCGAACGTAACACCGTTCTCGAACCCCTGAGTCGGAAGAAACCTCAGAAGTCGCTGGTTCGGGTAAGTCGGGCCGTGGAGAAGTCAGTCATCCGAAACTAAGTCGCAGGAGGTTGGGTCGCTGTGCAAAGGCGCAAGGAGTTTCCAGCGAGTGAAGTCCGTTATGCTGCAACGTACACTGGTTCCAACAGCTGCAGCTGGATCTATGTCACAGGGCACACATCTCCGAGAGTCGGAAGTTGCGAGGCCATATCCGTCCCTCTTCAATGCCTATGCCTGGCAATCTTCGATGCGATCCTCGTCCACATGATGCAGGCCCTGCGATCCAAGATTGCAATCGCATGGAAGTTCGACCTCGAGGCCTTGAGTCAAGCATCCTACGGTAAGCTTTCTTACGCTCCGAAGACCAGAATCTGCGAGCTTGTGAAAAGCACGTCTGTTAGCCGTTCTGCGGGTGTTGCTTTCGGGCTCACCAGGCGCCTTTTCTAAAAAACGTTCCTCTTGTGTAACGGGCTGTAGAATCAAGACTTTGCTTGACAGACGCAGGGTTGAAGCTGCACGGGAATCGCATGAAATGGGCGAAACTCTGAGGTCACTCATAGGAGAGAGAAGGTGACTAGCAGCATCTCTTATTCTGCTGCTGATGCTCACATATAATGGTTAGGACCCAGGATTGGGGTATAATGAAAACCGATCACATGCGAACTCCGCTCAGCAGACACTATATGACCCTGCCGTACCCTCTTACACTCTGACCCGCGTCGCACGAGCAGGAATTTCGGGGACTCCCCAGTCTACGCAAATCGTTCGAGTGGATGCTCTTTTGATTGACTGCACGCTTCTTCATGTTCGTGTTCCGATACAGCCTGTTTGCCGACGTTCCAGTGTTGCTCTTCGCCTGGTCCGGGCCGTCCTGGTCATGAGGGTGCGTTGGATAGCAGTTTGTCACCAAGCCCTACATGCGACGATAGCTTAAAAAAAAACAAGGGTACTGGCAGGAAGGGCGGGATACTCTGTCCCTTAAACCCTAAATTTAAGCACACTGGAACACGTTTCGAAAGTTTGCCGGAACGCTTCTCCAACTCGGACTGGCACATAGTTGCACAGTTGCAGTTGGAGTGCGCACCGGATCCCCGGGCCCTGGTTTGAGGTTCGACTACGCTAGAGAGACGCTATAGAGACGCTAAGCGCTTACCGGGCTCCTGACGTAGGAGCCCGGAGCAGTGGCTTCTCTTTGTGGCGTCTACCGGACAGGTGTCGCCGAATGTCGCCGAAATATTTACTGAACTCTAAGCCTCCTGTGGGCCCTAACCCTGAAACACAGCCCAAAGCCCAAAGTTGAGGAGGGCTTGGGGCTCGGCTTCTCTACCTCGATGTGTTTTTGAATTTGGGGAGAGGAGCTGAATGCAATTCTGTAAAGCACAATCGACTTAAGAGCTTGAGGTTCGGGTCTTCGTGTTTGGTGCTTTTCTTGCGAGTTGGGATAGTCGGATAGAGATCTTGGAGTTGAAGGTTTGACTCTTCAGCTTTGACGCTTTCGATAGCGTGCGTGAGAACCGCAGGCGCAACACCTCCAAACCTCATCGCCGCATCACGACCATTGGAGGTGTTGTCTCCGGATGGCCACTGGCTACGGATAAAGGAATCCATCTGCAATGCTGGAAGCCCGGCTTTTGTGTTGAAGATTGGGTGAGATGCAATGCGTTGTTCTGGCTGATGGTTGGTCCATCGCACCTATAAGCGCCATGTAGAAGACAACACTTGTGTTGCCCCTTTTCCTTTGTGTGGCAGTAGGTACGGGTCGACTTGTTTCAGTGAAGCCTATACGGTGAACATGAATCAACACACAAGATAAAAGCTCGACTCGGAGAGTGTATGTAGAGTGGCTTGATCGATGGAGTTCCACGATGCCTCGAAACAGTGCCGAGGGATGCTGTGTGAGGGAAGCTCGGCACGCAAGTGGCTCTCAAACGCGGTCCACCTAATACAGCAAACTTGTGGTGCCACACGATCGAAGCGCGGTCATGACTGTGAATGACTGCAGGACATGCGAAATACTAACATCTGCATGTCTGCCCCTCCTTCTGGAAGTTTAAGTCTGGTCGAAGATGGCAGATTCGAAGCACTCGTAGCCCTTCTGCGCTTTGGCCCAGCGGAAGGCACCTCTTGCTTTGCGCTTTGCGCCTGGGGCATCCCTGATTGTCAACTGCAGAATGCTCATGAGCCAACCGACATGCTATGCCTGAGGCAACCTTCCGTAAGAAGAGTGCCATCACCACCAGGATACTTCAAAGTTACAGCTGGAATCTCAGGGCAAAGATGTTTCGTGATTCGGAGTTTGGCGCAAAGGGCGGTCGGCTCCAGGGCTTGGGCTCGTCTGGGCAGCTTGGTGGGGAGTACGCGTATTGTGCTGCTCAGCAGGATTATCTTCATGCCACACGTTTTCTCAAGGTTCATACAGTTCGCGTTAAGAACGCTTAGCCGCCCTTGCCACGTGGGGCTTCACTTCTCAATACCACTCGCTCTGCAACTTATGGGAGTTCTGGCGCCATGTCCAAACCGCCAAGTGCGTGGAAAGCTACTCCCGCATTGGGAGCTCTGGCTGTGAACGCCCAGCAGCTGAGGTGGATGCGCAGTGATCTGTCTGCAGGAAGCTTCTGTGCCGTCCCAAGATGTCGAATGTAGAAAGTAGAAACAGGACTAGATTGACTTGATGGAGTTCGGCTGATATTGCAGACTTCCCCGTCTATGGAGTTTGATTGTTGAGCTTGCCCCTCCGAAAGTTCTTTGATTAGGATGTTTTGCAGCGGGGAGCCTTTGCTGCGGTGCTGCAGACTGAGGAAGAGTCCGGCCTAAAGGGAGCTTCAACAATCATGTAAAGACGATGGCATATCTAGTCTAAACGAGCCAGCGATTTAGCATGCCTCGTCTACATGAGTTATCAATACTTCCGCGGATTGCTGTGACCATCTTCGACACTGGTACTGTCACGGTGCCATGCATCACTCGCTACTCAGCGTTCTGTTTCTGCCCTCCTCTGCTCGCTTTCGAGTTGGCGCCTCAAAGCTTCGAACTTCTTGGTCTTTCATGACATAAGAACACCATGGCTGCATCTCCTCGTTGCGTTTTCCGTTCTAGTACTTTCCACTTTTGTTTGCAGGTCCAAACCCAGGGCGCGAAACCTGGGTTCATCTGCCTTTTGCACGATTTTCTCGGGCCCTTCCTCGTAATGTTCAGAAGGATGTTAGGGAAGGGCTGCAATCGGCTGCAGCCGGGAACTGACAGGCCACCTGAAAGCTTCAAGCATAAAGTTATCAAGGTCCTGAACTACACCCCGAATCCTAAACCTCGAAGCCCCAATTCAAGAGCACTTCAGCTCTATCTCTCCAGAGCGCTAAACCCAGAGCAAGCAATACAGTAGAACGCACATCCCCCTCAGAAGGGAAAGTGAAAGTGAAGATACCATTACATTGTGTACGATGAAACCGCAAACTCTAGGCCTTGGAGGGTCACCGGTAGCAGCAAGGAAGCTTACTTGCAGAGCCTTCGGCAGAGCAGCCTGGCGAAGACGCTTCTCCGGCAGACTTCGGGTATTCAGTCTCTTCTCATTGTGGTGTGCGGCGTTTCGGCGTTCTGTGTTGTTGAAGGCTAGCGTCCAGGCTTGCGGGATAGCATCGTGCACTTTGCAGTTTCGGCGTCAGCTTTGGAGAAGCCAGTGTGGAGGCTTGCCAGAAGGATCTAAAGCCCACCTCAGACAGGGCCAGGTGTGCATGGTGGGGGAGTGTGCAGCCAGGGTGGAGATTTTGACAACCTGTTGTTCCCGTAGGGCTTGGATTTTAGCTTCATGCATTTGTCATAGACCACAGTCCTAAGAAGCCCTGTCTTGATTCCCACCAAGCTTGAGCGCAATCTTCGAGCCTCGAGCCACACTGGGCGCAGTCTGCATGACATACATGAACGCCAAAACTGTCAGCACCGGACCCCCGAACCTTTCCAATGAAGACCATGAGCTTGGTATCTATTGCCATGGCCTCAGGATTCAATAACAGCTCTTTGTTGGAGCTCAGTTTACCTGCCATCACGGTTCTGAGCGATAAGCTTGTGAGGCTTGTAGAAGTTTGCATCTGCTGTCAAGCTCAGGACGCATCACATCGTCATACCGGAGAAGGTTACGCCTCCGCAGTTCTTGGGTCTTGCTTTGATTGTGGTCCTCGGCTTTCTGGCGAACCCTGGACCAGCAGTCCCCGACATACATGAACTTGTGATTCGAATACGCGCCTTCAGGACTCGGCTAGAGTTGGAATTCCGGGCAGAAGTAGCGGAAGAAGACAGTTCATAATGTTTTCTGCAGCGGAAATTGCGCGGACGTCAATTCCACGGGAGGTGGACCCCTGCAATAAATGCGAGAGTGCTTGAAGAGGAGCTAAGGCTAAATGATCCTGCCTCTTCTTAGAACCTATAGGACCCCATGAAACTTGCCGGCGCCTTGTCTACCCCTACGTAGCGGAAGGCAGCAGATGACATGACCCAGCTCTTGTCTGTCAGTAGGTTCCACATATTCTGGCCCCGTGAATACCATTCAAGGCTTCAGAAAACTTTTAATGAGAAGCAAAGCTACGCCTTTGTGTTTGAGTCATTTGAGCTCCGGCCCGCCCAACTCCCTCGACGGTGCACGGGCTAAGGCCAAGGCCACAGAGCGGTGTGATGTCGGAAGACACCTGTACCTGTACTATCTTTGGAGGGGACGGTATCCCCTGGAGCCTAGAGATTGAAACCCTATGCATGAAGCTGGATGCTCCGCCTTACACTATGGAGGATGATGATGATGATGATGATGACGAACATGACGATGACGATGACGACGCTGACGCTGAAGCTGACGCCGCTGCTGCTGGTGTCGCTGGTGGTGGTGGAGGTGGTGCTGGTGGTGCTGGTGGTG